GTTGTAACTGTACAGCTATCATCTTCACCTGCGGGATTTTGGGGTTTAGGACTTTAGCGTCTTGGGAGATATTTGGGTCTTAAAGTTCTTGGGGGTTCTCAAAGAGCACGGTGTGTGCATTGGCCCCGGCCTGGTGCCGTGCTTAGGGTAGCTCAGGGCTAAGGGCCAAGTGTACTCGGCAAGGAGGTCCCGGGGCTCAAGTGGGACATTCGGAGCTGTATGCACATGGCCGCCAAGGATGCAGCGAAGGGCGCGTAGGCTTATGGTGCAGGCGGCACAGCAGCTGTCTAAGCTAGGGCCGAGTTCTCGCAGTTAGGTTTGCCTTTCCATGTCATGGGACCAGTGGGCCCTTAGCTGTAAAACGCAAGACTTACAATTGCATCTTGAAATAGAGGCCTCATTTTGCGTGCTCTGTTGGTTTAGATAGTTTACAGGGGCCAAAGCGTAGAAAGGGTCGACGGGGTATAACGTGGTGTCGCGAGTTTAGGGAAGAGACCCGGAGTTCAGCTGGCCCTGAAGCCAGCCCAACACATCCTCTGCGCTGCGTCGGGATCCAAAGCTGGCAGCCCATAGAGGTACGCCAGCTGCCGCAGGGCCTTTCGGGCTCCAAGCAAACGAAAAAACTGCGGGTTTAGGGTTTAGGGTTTGGGGTTTAAGGTTTAGGGTTTATGGGTTTTTTTTCGGGCTTAAAGGGCTCGCAGGGTATCTGGGGGCTAAGGCCTAGCAGGGTCTTGGGGCTTCAGGGCCTTAGGCAAAGAGGCCGAGTTGGTACTTCCTGAGATCTACTCAGCACCTAGGATATGCCTCAGTTGAGAGTTTTAGGATGACCAGGTGCTCATTTAATCCAACTTCATGGGCTGTTTAGGGGTTCAAGGTTTTGGGGTTTACGACACTCAACCCCCTGCAGTCTAACCTACCCCGCTCTCCCAACGACCCTCCAAAAGCTGGATGTGGCACCTAACTTCCACAAGCGCAGCACGCACGCCCTGGACGATAAGTCTGAGATCCCGAAGCCCTGCGCCCTTTCCCCCAATCTGCTACGGCATCCCCCTCCCCTCCAAACCCGGCAGAAGAAAGAGAAGAAGCGGGCCGTCAGCGCGGCCGCCAGGTCTATCAACTCCCCGCGCGCGCGTCCGCCGCTATCCAGCGCCCAGCGGAATTCCTCCGGACTGGGAGGACTTATGAGGTTTAGGGTTAGGGTTTAGGGTTTAGGGTTTGGGGCTTCGTGCTATGGGGCTTTAAGCCTTCAATGGCTTCAAGGTTTGAGGTGTTTCGAGCCCAGGCCTTCTCCTCCTTGGTTGGCTGTGGTTTGCCATCAGTTAGGGTTAGGGTGCAGACAACTCGAAGGCATGGATTGTCGGAATCCACTATCTAGCCATAGTTGCTGTACCGGCCAAGGGATCGACCTTTTAAATGGTCATCTTCAAGCATGCCGAAGCCCTAGCGTTCAAGCCCGGAAACGGGACATGAAACCAGACCCTAAACATGAGGCGGCGTGCAGTCAGGATTTCCTCCCCCCCCCCCCCAAGGAGATTTGTTTGGGGGGGTGGGTTTGGGGTGTAGGGCTTTCGGATTTTACAGGCTTCATCATGGGGATACAGGCGTTTGGGATCCTGGGGTTTGCAGGGTTTTGGGGTCTTAGGACTAGTTGGGGGCTTGGAAGGTGCGCTCGGTACGTCCGAGACTATGCCGGTGAAGCGCGTGACGCCGGGGATTCGCTCAAGATGCACATCGCGGCATGTAACCGAAATCCCCCCCAAAATGCCCCAAAGCCCCCTAAACCCTAAACCCTAAACCCTGAACCCTAAACCCTGAACCCTAAGAACTAAGAACCCTAAACCCTAAACCCTAAACCCTAAACCCTAAACCCTAAACCCTAAACCCTGAACCCTGAAACCCTAAACCCTAAACCCTAAACCCCCTAAACCCTAAACCCTAAACCCTAAAAACCCTAAACCCTAAACCCTAAACCCTAAACCCTAAACCCTAAACGCCTGCGCCGCGGCATGGCGCAGCTCCGACTCCCCGGCGGGTGAGAGCAGCGACTCGACCTGGGCCTTGCCACACTGCTTTAGGGGCCTTTAAGGTAGGGTTTAGGGTTTAGGGTTTAGGGTTTAGGGTTTAGGGTTTAGGGTTTAGGGTTTAGGGTTTAGGGTTTAGGGTTTAGGGTTTAGGGTTTAGGGTTTTAGGGTTTTAGGGTTTTAGGGTTTTAGGGTCTAGGGTCTAGGGTTTAGGGGCTTCCAGGGGGTTTTAAGGGTGTAGCTTGGGGCTCCTATGTAAAGGTATATGGGGCTTACTTACTTTCCAGGTTTAGGGTTTAGGGCCTGGGTTCAGGGGTTCGAGTGGCTTGTGAGACGGCAGAGCTGCAAGGACTCAGCCTTTCCCAGTCCATAGCTGGCAGCCCTGAAACGAAAAAGCGCTACACTCCCACAAACACCCCAGGAAAAAATCCTAGCTGTATGTATATGTATATGTTTATGTATATGCATATGCATATGTAGATGTAGATGTATATGTACATACACATATAAACCCTACAACCCCCCTACAAACGCCCTGAACCCCCCTAGAAACCCTACACCCCCACGCCGACACGCACTGAGTCGATGGCCACCTCGGCCGCAAAGAGCGCCCTCCGGAAGACTTTCGTGATGCCGCGCAGCGGAGGTACCGGAGGCCTAGGGTTTAGGGTTTAGGGTTTTAGGGGTTAGGGTTTAGGGTTTAGGGTTTAGGGGTTTAGGGGTTTAGGGGTTTAGGGGTTTAGGGGTTTAGGGGTTTAGGGGTTTAAGGGTTTAAGGGTTTAGGGGTTTAGGGTTTAGGGGTGGTGGGCTAGCCCCCTGGGGATTGAAGTTCAGTCGCGAACTGCTGCTTCTCGATCGTGGAGGGGCACTACTCCTACTATTCCTCCTACTACGCCTGCGGCGCCTGCGTTTTCTGGCAGTTGCGGGCCCGCTGAGAGACTCTTGGAGCTTTGGGCCTTCGAATTTCTGAAATGTAGTTCAGCAGACTGCGAAGCAGGTTCTGCTTTGCAGCAAGGAGAAGGTGTTCGGTGCAGAATGTGCAAGAGGAAGAGGGACAGGCGTCCGCACTGAGGCCGGTGCGTATGTCCAGGTGCATCGGTGCTGGTGTCGGATCCCGCCCCTGTTAGCATGGAACGACTTCCGCTTCTGAAAACCCCTGAGCACTTAAGAACCACCTAGGCCCCAGACACAACAACCCTACATCCCTCGGCCGAAAGCCTCCTTGCTGTTTGAAGCCAGCTCAGCCCTCAAGGCGGTCAGTGTAGGGCTTAGGCTTAGGCCCAAAGCCCCCTTGCGACTTGGGGAGTATGAGCCCCAAACCCAACCTGAGCTCCTGAAGTAGAAGGGTTTAGGGTTTAGGGTTTAGGGTTTAGGGTTTAGGGTTTAGGGTTTAGGGGTAGAACCCCTCCATGCCTGGCATGGACATGGGCTTCGGCATGGAGAAGAGCCTCACAGGCTCGGCATGGTTGGACACTTTGTGGCACGTAAATAGCTCTGGCTGGAGGGAGAGGATCTCTAGAACCATCAAAGGTGAGAAACAAGGTCCAAGGTCTAATGGAAGGAGAATCCCCTGAACCCTAAACCCGAACCCTAAACCCCAAACCCTAAACCCTAAACCCTAAATCCTCACACTGGATGCCATAATTCGTGAACCTTTAGAGAGCGCGTCCAGCCTGGCGTCTGCCATGGGAAGGCCGTCGTCCTGGAAAGGGCCCGGCGGCCCCCCCCCAAACCACTCCAAACCCTAAACCCTAAACCACCCCAAACCCTAAACCCTAAACCCTAAACCCCAAAACCTAAACCCTAAACCCTAAACCTACATCCTCACAACACGGCCCTTTGGGGGCTTTGGGAAGTTTAGCGTTTAGGGTTTAGGAGATTAGTGTCTGGGTTTTAGGGGTCTAGGGTTTAGTGGCTGACTGGGTTTAGTCGAAGATAAAAACCCTTCAGGGCTCAAATCCAAACTCTACTAGGTTGTCTCTCTTAGTCCCTGTAACAAACATTCCTACACATAGAGGGGGACATGTATATCCCGAGGGCCCGAAACCCGAAACCGCAGCTTCTACACCCTCGACCCTCAACCCAACCTGGCACCATGCAAGGCCCAGTGACCTCCAGCGGAGGAGGCATCGGAGGCAGGGCCTCAATGAAAGGGGGGGGGGGGGGGGGTTTAGGGCTTCAGGTGGTGTGTTTAGGGTTTCAGATTGTGCGAGCCTTTCGACATCAGCATTCTTTCAGGTGGCACCGCTCTGTGAGATTGAAACCTTTTTTTTGAAACTACCCAAGGTACGTAAAATTACGTAGGCAACATTCTGGGAAGCTTCAATCACCACGCTGCGTCCTTCGTGGCAACCCTGGCCTTGATGTGCTGATGTCCGCTAGGGGTCTCTACACGGAGCCCAGGAGACGACACTAAGCTATATTAAGCTATATCAAGCAATATCAAGCTATATTATGCTATAATTATGAAGCTATATTGAGCTATATTAAGCTATATTTAAGCTGTGACTCTGAGGGATCAGTTGCAGGAGGATGAGCAGCAACAGAGGTGGGCGTGCTGAGGGGGCCGTCCCTTCTTTTTTTTTTTTTTTTTTGGGGGGGGGGGGGGGCCCTCTTTTGAAGGAAGGTCGACTCGAATATCTTAGCTAGTTCATGGTTGGGATAGCTTTTAGAAATTCACTTTCTACTCCATATTGAGTTGAAGTACCCTTAATTATTAAACATGCAAACTGTTACCCCCACTATGACAAAGTTGGGGTGGCCCATGTTCCGAGGTGACTTTGACATGACTCTGCGGATGCAGGCGAGGTGCAGCATCACGTGGCCTCTCCTCCACAGCATCTGCTGAGCACAATGGGTTAACTACACACCATCACCTGGGGCCTGTTGGCTATCTAATTATAGACGACCCGGGTGCACACAAGACTCGAAACAGGATCCTGCTCACCACGATGACAACTCTAACTCAACCCGAAACACCTAAGTCGAAGAGTTGCATCTTCTTCGGGATGTTGGGAGCCCGAAAGAAAGCCATGAAAGTGGCTCCTCCACAGCTGCGTTCGGGTGAGTTGCTCCCGGAATCACAACATCGCTTATGATCCTCGGAGGCCGCACCATATGTGGAGATGGCGATCTCAATGGCGAAATCGATCGGCTTTGACTGGGCGTTTCGGTCTGACCGGACGCGGGAACGGTGATGGGAGGCAAGTAGACCACTCGGCCCACACATGGGTTCGTAGTCATTCGACTAATGCTGCTGCGTGCCGTCTGCGTCGCCTCCGACGAAGGGGCTAGTGGAATCGGTGCTGGCACGGAGGTTGCTTGGCTCACAGCCCGCATAACAACTGGAGACTGCACGGGGCCCACCGGGCTTGGGGCAGAGGCTTGCCAGGCCCGGTCATGACTCGGGCTCAGGGGCCTCAAAGGCCTCACGGGGCTGACGGGGCTCAGGGCCCTCATGGGGCTGGCCGAGGGGCTACGCCCCAAAGCCCTCCCCTGCTCCAGCCGAAGAGGTGTGGGGAGGGGGGAGGGGCTCCGGCGAGGTGAGTTGAAGGGGCTCTGAAGAGTCGCCTGGCCTGGGCCATACTCCAACCAAGGTATGCCAGTAGCAATGAGCCCTGGAGGCGTAAGGTTCTTCATCGGCTTCGAGGCGATCGTGTGCCGGGAGTTGAAGGACCACAAGGAGTCCAGGCCCCTTCCATCGCCTACCAGACAAGATGCTTCTGCGACTGGGGTGACTACGCAGGGCTATTGCAAACAAAGGCCACGGTGGATACGCTTGTGCTCCCTTATGGGGTTTGGGGGGGGGGGGTCGTTTCACTCGGCCCTAGACCTGACTACTTCTGAAACTCAATCTGTCAGAAGAAAAACCTGATTTCCAGTTCAGTCGCCGAAGCTGGGGCAAGGGCACGGACCATTCCTTGGCAACTCTGGAGATCACTCTATCGAGCAGCAACGGTGATCCCAGCCTTTCAGCCTAAAGCATCACCAACAACCCAAAATCTATCAGTTGGGATGTTCCTCCTTAGACTAACAGGCCTGAATAGGGATTACAATAAGGGGTACTACACTCCCTATAATAAAGGACTGTCTGCATAAGAGGGGACATCCCAAAACCCTGATCCTTAAACCCTAAACCCTAAACCCTAAACCCTAGCCCTAAACCCTAAACCAACCCTAAACCCCAAAAAGTACCAGAATGAGCACCCAGTGTCGGTGCCTTCCTTTGTGGGCTGGGAGGCGGCCGTGAGAGGCTGAAGCTTGGAAAGCTGCTCTGAAAGCTGGGCTGACCGGTGAGACCAGGCTGTGCATACCTTAGGGTTTAGGGTTTAGGGTTTAGGGTTTAGGGTTTAGGGTTTAGGGTTTAGGGTTTAGGGTTTAGGGTTTAGGGTCCATACCTTACCAGGAGGGGCCATTCGACTCGATAACCCCCTTGAAAAGGGCCTCTTTAGAGGGTTGATTCTGGGGATTATGTGACCTAATCGCCCATCCTGGTAGATGCTTTCCTGCTGCTCTTCTTGGGGCGCTGTTGAAGAGCAGTCTAAGGGCCCGGGCCCCGGCGCCCACAAAGAGATGTGTAAAACAGCCGCATCGCGAAACTTTTCTTGATGTATCGACTTGCGGTACAGACCAAGATAAAAGGAGACCAAAAACGCATCTCTCAAGCAAAGTCCATGCCACTGAAAGCTACCACGGCAGGGTGGACTGGGCAGCGGCGGGAAGGAGTCTGGCATCCTGGTACCCGGCTGAGCCATGGAGCTGCAGCGGCTAGGATAGATGGTCCGGGCCTCCTGGGGTTTCCGAGAAGAAAAAACAAACTGCCCCAATTTTGAGGCTTTGTTTGGGGGGGGCGGGGGGGGTCGGAAAGCTTTGAGGCGCAAGCTTCGGGGCTTGTCTGGATTCTTTGGCAGTGTACAGTTGTGGGGGGGGGAGGGGATACTGCCGGCGTTTTGGGTTTCAGGGTTCCCCAGGTGCTTGGTGTTGGGCATCGTTGGGGCTCGGAGGAGATAGGACAGAGACAGAGGATCCAGCCTCCTCGGCAAAGGTGCCGCCATAAAAGGTGCTGTTCTCGGCCGCCACAGTTCCGAAGGAGGCCTCCAAAGCAGGAGCCATGTGAGGAGGCCGCCGACCGCGTTCAACTGCCATGGCTCTCGATTCTCGGACTGGGGGAAGGGGGGGGGGAGGGGTAGCGCGCTCTGCTTTGTCCTTCGCGTGCCTGTGCGGAAGTTCTGTTTGGGATGCGCTGTTTTGGGTCTCCAAAGCTTGGGGTGAACATACATCGAGTAAGCGGGAGGATGAGCATTGTTGTGGCATGGGTGCGCGGTCCTTTGAGCCTCTACTCATCAGGTTTAAGCTTTCTGAGCGTCAACAACCCATACGTCAAGCCCAGCTACAGACCTGCATGTCAACTTGTGCGCCAGCCTCGGAGTGCCACCCCGACATCTTTGCTAGTGACAAGAAGCATAAGTGGTCATCTTCAAGCGGTCTGCTCTCACTTCTCCCCCCTCTCTTTGTCACCCCTTTCTGAGCACTACCTGCGGATGGCTGGCTACTGCTACTGAAAGCACAAGGTTCCAGGTGTTTGCATGATTCGCCCTGTCATCACTTAGTCAGCAGACCATGACACTATGCGCCACGAAGCCACAACAGCCCGAGATCGTCCTTTTCCTCGTCTCCATGTCTTGCGTGGGTACCCAAACCCTTGAGCTGCTTGAGCAAGATCACCCAATGACGCTCTATGACTCTATGCACCCAGGTAGAGCGTCCGCATTGAAGTCACTAAAGCAGACTCGTGGTTTGGTTCCGGTAGCATGGAGGGCATGGAAATCACTGGAGTCACGCAGGGTCTCCCAACAGTGTGTGCCGGGCCTTCTCAACTTCAAATGCTTCATCATGAGTAGAACTGTCCTCAACACCCTAAACCCTAAACCCTAAACCCTAAACCCTAAACCCTAAACCCTAAACCCTAAACCCCGTCTTTCTGAACATCTCTGAGCCCGCAAGCCAGGTGCGCCGCTGGCGCCTGAACTTTACATTCTGCGGCCCTGGCCCCACTTTGCTGGGGAGCACATCTAGACAAGCTTTTTGGGGGTTTAGGGTTTAAGGTTTATGGTTTAGGGGTACTATTTGCTTAAGACGACTCCCCCCAAGAAAAATACTTATCCCTGTATTACCCTTATATGGAAGAATACTTCTTTGAGGGGTTCTTATGCAATTCGCAGGCTCTTGGGGGTTCCACCATGTCAACGACAGGGTGCAGGGCTTCGTGTTGGATGACGTCACAGAGATGACAGACTTGGAACTCCCCTTGCTTGTCAGATGAGGCGCTTCTTGATACAGATCCTGTGCCATGGCAGAGGCGCCAAAGGGAAACTCCGAGGGTAAATCCGGAACAATTAGGGTTTAGGGTTTAGGGTTTAGGGTTTAGGGCTTAGGGTTTAGGGTAGAAAGAAGCACGAGCCAGCCAATTTCGCGCAGCAGCGCCCCCTTCGACATTCCCTTCGACGGGAGTGGAAGCGATCCTCCAGCGACATGGACTCTAGAATAAACCCTAAACCCCCCCCCCTAGCCCCTAGTGGACCCGGCCTGTATCAGTAAAGCAAAAACTCTGTTCTTCACCCTGCGCATCCCGGGTCCCTTCGGCGAAGAACTGTTCAAGCCACCCCAACCAGCAAGCGCCTCGGGAAACCCTAGACCCTAAACCCTAAACCCTTTCAACCCGCACTGGAACAAGTCCATCCGTGTCGTAAGAGTGAGAATGTGGGCCACTGGGCAGTATGAGATCTTCAAATTGCATCTGCCGATCCCGGTGTCTTCAACACCGACTGCACCAAGCACCCCTTTTGTCGTCAGGGCGTCAGGGCTTTTTGGTTTAGGGTTTAGGGTTTAGGGTACTAGGGAATGTTTTCGGGGGCACTGGGGGCCATTGTTGTGGATGGCTAGACTGCTAGATGACCTTCCCCATCCTTTCAGGAGACTACTTTCTAGGACGGCCCTTCAAACTGTCTGACAAAGAACTCCTGAGAAGGAAAGTTTCAACATATCCCAACAAGGGCCTAGCTAGTTTGGGCTCGGGGTTTAGGGTTTAGGGTTTATATAGGGTTTAGGGTTTAGGGTTTAGGGTTGCTGGCTTTTCGATTTAAATCTGATGCCTTTGGGGCTTTCGGGGGGAGGGGGGGGGGGGGGGGGGGGGGGGGGGGGGGGGGGGGGGGGGGGTGGTCGAAAGGGGGAGGGAGGGGCCCACAACAATAACCGTAGTTACCCACCCCTGAGCCCTAAACCCGAAACACCCAGACCCTAAACCCTAAACCCTAAACCCTAAACCCTAAACCCTAAACCCAAAACCCAAAACCCTAAACCCTAAACCCTAAACCCTAAACCCTAAACCCTAAACCCTAAACCCTAAACCCTAAACAAACCTTAAACTCGAACATAAGATCCCCGGCGCCAGACCTAAACGAAGGGGTGCGGCAGATGCCCAGGGCAAGCCAGCACGCCTCTCATCGCCCCTGCAAGGTTCAAGAGCTGCAGAGGATGGCAGAGTTTAGGGTTTAGGGTTTAGGGTTTAGGGTTTAGGGTTTAGGGTTTAGCTTGGGGGAGTTGATCTAAGTTCTGCCCCCCTCTGCTTCTATGTAAGAAGGGGCCCGAGCAAACACTAGAATACAGCCTAAATCACTAGCAGCATCACTGTGATCCCTACATAGCTATTCTTGTCAACGACCGAACATACCGATTCTCTAAAGTATGATTCTTGAATGGCAATCTTGAACCCTCAACCCCGACTGGTTAACGGCATGTGAGGGGAGAAGGGGGGCAAAGCCACACCAACCCTGACAAGCTGAACCCCTCTCAAGCCCGAAAACTCAAAAAACACCTACACTCCTAAACCTCTAAACGCCTATCAACCCTAAACAACCCTAAGCTCCCAACCCTACACCCTAAACCCCATACCCATACCCCATACCCCCAAGCCCCAAACGCTAAACCCCAACCCTCCGCGACCCCATCCTGCCTTTGGACCGCCTAGGGAATCCCACAGACCCTGCAAGACATCCTCCAGTTCCTGCCAAGCGCGAGGTGGGCTTTGGGGCTTATAGGGCTTGGGGCTTATAGGGCTCATAGGGCTTAGGGCTTATAGGATGTAGGGGTTTGGGATTTCTGGGGTTATAGGGATTTGGGGTTCTTGGGACTTATAGATCGATGCTCTTAGTTTTTTTTGGGGGGGAGGGGGTCCAAGGCCTTGGGGTTTTAGGGCTGAGGGCACAGGATTGAGGGCTTGGATCCCAGAAAGCCTGCGAAAGGTCTTTTTGAAGTTTCAGCTGAAGCCCCCGGATCCTTATACCAGGGGTCCCCGAAACGGGACCCTAATTTCAGAGCAGCTCCCACATGGGGCTTCAATAGCACGCAGGGCACCAGGCAATCTCAGCCGACATTGCTCGGGCCTAACATCCGTAACCCTAAACCCTAAACCCTAAACCCTAAACCCTAAACCCTAAACCCGGGATGTAGGATGAGAAACTGAAGGTACACAACAAGAGCACAACCAATGGCTTGGTGGGGGCGGAGGGTTAGGGCTTAGGGCTTAGGGCTTAGGGCTCAGGGTTTAGGGTTTAGGGTTTAGGGCTTAGGGTTTAGGGTTTAGGGTTTAGGGTTTAGGGTTTAGGGTTTAGGGCTTAGGGCTTAGGGCTTAGGGCTTAGGGCTTAGGGCTCCTGAAAGTCAGGTCGATCGTCAGGCTCGTTGTCCCATGCTCGCTGCATCAGCTTGATGATGGCCTGCGGCAAGGCATCATTTGGGGCATCCTCGTGCCCTGGGCTAAAGCCACGGCTTGGGGTTTGGGGTTTAGGGTTTACTGTAGGGTTTAGGGTTTAGGGTTTAGGGTTTTTGGGTTTTGGGTTTTGGGTTTTGGGTTTTGGGTTTTGGGTTTTGGGTTTTGGGTTTTGGGTTTTGGGTCTAGGGTGTTCATGGTGCTTAGAAACCAATTAAAACTGCACGTTTGACCCACTAATCGGCCCCTTAAAGTGCCTTTTTATGGTTCTTAAGTACAGTTGTAAGTACACTTCTAGTTGGATAATACGTACCATGAACCTCCAAGTAGGGCAGGTAGATTTAGGGTTCATGGGTTTATGGGTTTATGGGCTTATGGGTTTATAGGGGGTTGAGGATTGAGCCTCAACTCTTGCAGTGCCTCCCGCAACCCTCAACCCCAAACCCGCAACTAGCCCTAAACCTGGCAACTCACTCCAAAAAACCCTACAAGCCGGAGTGGGGGGGTGGGGTGGGGGAGGGGGGATGGAGGGGGGCAGGGTTTAGGGTTCAGGGTTCACCCTAAACCCTAAACCCTAAACCCAAAGGTCAGGGCCTCGCGAACCTCTGGCGAGTCCTCGGAGGACGAGCTGCGAACTTCAGGGCGAAGGCCCATGCAAACCTGGGTGCGGCTGAGGATATAGGGTTTAGGGTTTAGGGTTTAGGTTTAGGGTCTAGGGTCTAGGGTTTAGGGTTTAGGGTCTAGGGTTTGGGTTTAGGGCTTGAGGCCTTTGCGCTGAGGGGCTGACAGGGCTTGAAGGGCTTCAGGGTGTTGAAGGTATTACAAGTTTAGGCTTCATGGCTTAGGGCGTTTAAGGTTCCAAGTAGGGTGTTTAATGGTTAAGATGCAGGGCGTCGATTCAGGGTCCGGGTAATGAGATTGTTGTGGGGGAACCGTTTGCTCATGTAGCCCGAGCCAGAATCTCGATTTCACTACTGGAGTGGGCATGAATCAGCCCGAAACCTCAACCCTGAACCCGAAACCCTGAAAGCCTGAAACCCTGAAGATGAAATTTGAAACCCTGGAGCCCTGAAGCCCTGGAGCCCTGAAACCCAAAAACCTCCACGAAAACCCTGAAACCCTGCAACCCGAGACTTGTTCTACTCTAGGCCTAGACCCTAAACCCTACTAAACCCTAAACCCTGCTAAACCCTAAACCCTACTAACCCCTAAACCCTAAACCCTAAACCCTAAACCCTAAACCCTAAACCCTAAACCCTAAACCCAACCCTAAACCCTAAACCCTAAACCCTAAACCCTAAACCGCCAGGGGCAGGGCATGGAGGCTTATCCTTGGATCGGAAACATCATTCCTGGCAGGGCGCAGAGGGAATGCCAGGGGTTTGGGGCTTCGGTTTTGGGGGTGTAGGGTCTAGAGTTTAGGGCTTAGGGTTTTCGGGTTTTAGAGTTCACATGTAGGGTTTAGGATGAGGGTTGGGAGGCTGTTGCTCAAAGCTGGGATGCCTTGAAGCACTGAAGCAAAAGAATCTAAACCCTAAACCTTAAACCCTAAACCCTAAGCCCTAAACCCTAAACCATCACAATGCTGATCACAATGAAAAAGACGCCTGCCAGGCCACGCCCTCCCGGGTCCCAGGAGGATACAGCCGTTTGCTTTTTAACGCTGTCTTGTTAGGGACCTGTAAAAGCAACGGCAGGCGACAGAGTCGAACCCTAAACCCTAAACCCTAAACCCTGTTGGGGGTTCAGGATTGTGGGCACTGAGAACCCGATAGGTTCTACAAAGAGGTTTGGAGTCGGCGTTGGAGCTGCGTACGTGTAGAGAGACCACCCCGAAACTAACCACATGAAAACCCTAAACCCTAAACCCTAAACCCTAAACCCTAAACCCTAAACCCTAAACCCTAAACCCTAAACCCTAAACCCTGCAGCTTCAACCAGCTCAGCTTCTGCAGCCAGGCGTCCCAAAACGCTCGCTGTAGGGAAGCTGACGCTCCATGACCTCCCGGTGAGGCTTTTGCTGGGTTTAGGGTTTAGGGTTTAGGGCTTAGGGTTTAGGGTTTAATTAGGGTTTAGGGTTTGGGGTTTGGGGTTCAGGGAAGGGTCTGGGATCCATGCAGCAAAGCCGGAACGAGAAAGCACACGGCAACGCCCTGCCTCGTACATTAAGATGCCAAAGGAAAACACGTCGGCCTTCCTCAGGTTTGGGTGGTTTAGGGTTTAGGGAGTTCGGGGTCGCAGACCCATGGCAAGTCCCGACGTCGGCCTAAACAGCGGTGCAACGTTTTACTCGGTTGACCCTTTAAGCCCCCAGGTTTGGGGGTTTAGGGTTTTGTTCACAAATATGATCCTTTGAAACCCAACACGGGAACAAATGAAATGGCCCAAGCTCCTAGCTAGTTTAAGAACTCCTGCAGGGTTCAGGGTTTAGGGGTTAGGGTTCAGGGGGGTTGGTTTAAGAACTGCAACTCCTAGACTCTGAGAGCGGCACAGGTTGTATGGCTCAGGATCGTCGTCGGAAGACGCGAAAACCTCCACAGCGAGCCGCGTCTGGGTTTAGGGTTTAGGGCTTAGGGTTTGGGGTTTGGGGTTTAGGGTTTGGGAACATAGCAAGCTGCAAAGCACCTCTTTCTCGCTCCTTTGCTATGCCTTTGGCTCGCTTCAGTCCGTGGGACACCAGCGCATTGAAATCGATTTGGTGGTGCGAAATCCCGATCCGAGAAGCATGTGCTTCAGGGGCATCAGAAGGAACCCCTAGAAGGGACCCGTAATCTTATTCCCTCCCTACTTATACCTTATATAGCCCCTATTTTCCGAAGTAGCCCCTAGATAACCCCTAAATAACCCGTAAGGTCCCTTGTTAGGGTCCCTCCTCCAGTCCCTTGATGTGCTTTTCTTCATGTCTGCAAAAAATACCCCTGAGACACTCGCACGGGGGTTCAGGTCGGGATAAGACCCTGATCCCTAAACCCGTAGCTCCCTGTTGAGCCCGAAAACCTAAGCCCTACACCCCTAACCCCTAAAACCCAAAACCCCAAAACCCCTGAACCCCCCAAACCCTAAACCTAGACCCTAAACCCTAAACCCTAGACCTCCAACCCCAAACCCTAAACCCTAAACCCCTACTTGGCTTTCAGGCTCGTCTTCTTCACGGCTTTCGAGGCGGCCGCGGGGCGCTTTTGGGCCGGCGGGGCCTTCGCCCCGGGCGCCCGGAACTCCTGAAGTGCAGCTTTCTTTTTCCTTTCATTTCTTGTTGTATTTGGTAGTTTTTTTTTGGTTTGGGGGGGGGGGAGTTATGTCTAAGGTTCAGGGTTTAGGGTTTTCATCTTTGGGTTCCGGACGAGGATGGCTCTTAAATCCCTCTAGACAAGATTCCCAGAAGATGATCCTCTTAAGCGGAATAAGGGCAAATACTCAATATCCCAAAGCTCCTTAAGATGATCCTCTTAAGCCGAATGAGGGACGATACTAAACTATCCCAAGAAGCCTGGAAGGTTTCGAGGATGGCCCTGAAAACCATCTGAAAAACATTCCTAAATACGATACTCTTAAGCCCAATAACCCTAAACCCTAAACCCTAAACCCTAAACCCTAAACCGAGGTTTCGCTTGCTCAGCTTTCTAAGCGGCTCCTTGACCACAAAGGCTCGCTTCATCAAGGCCTCCAGCTCAGCCAAGTTCACCTTCCGTTTTGTTTAGGGTTTAGGGTTTAGGGTTTATAGGGTTTAGGGTTTAGGGTTTAGGGTTTCGGGTTTAGGGTTTGGGGTTTAGGGTTTAGGGTTTAGGGTGGTTTAGGGTTTAGGGTTTAGGTTTTTAGGTTTATACGGTTTAGGGTTTAGGGCTTAGGGCTTAGGGTTTAGGGCTAGACCTGCTTCCGCCCTGTAGGGTCAAGAGTTTAGGGGCAAACGGGGCGTTCGTAGGGGGCCCGTCTATGAACAGCAACATGAAGGGGGAACCGGGGACGACAAGTCAGCCCTAAACCCTAAACCCTAAACCCCAAACCCTAAACCCTAAACCCTAAACCCTAAACCCTAAACCCCCACCTCTGCCAGGCTCTTGAAGTGGAGGCAGCCGACACCGTGCGTGCACTTCGGCCCGATCTTCTTGACAACCTGGTCGCTGAGCTTGAAGATGCAACCTTGGGGCAGCCCAGTAACCATATTCATAATGCGGGTGCCGTTTTTTGGGGTTTAGGGTTTAGGGTTTAGGGTTTAGGGTTTAGGGTTTAGGGTTTAGGGTTTAGGGTTTAGGGCAACCTTGGGGTAGCCCCGGAACCATTTTTATCACCGTACCCTTTCTTGGGGTTTAGGGTTTAGGGTTCAGGGCTTAGGGTTCAGCATAATTATTATAATTAATGCGGATACCTCTTTTGGGGTTAGTTACTTTATAAGGGAACCTTGAACCAACAAAAATGGCAAAAGGGTACCACTGGGCTACCAAGCAACCAAAGTACATCGTAATATTGCTGGCTCGCGCGGCCACACCGCACTGGAACCAGTTGTACGGCTTCTGGCTCTTGCTCTGATAGAGCATCTTCCCGGCACCAATGATGCTCCCCCCATACACGTGGATTTCCTTGGAGTGCTTCTTGAAGATGCTGAGGATCTTGGCCATGTCCGATCGCTTGCTCTCTGGCTGCACGCCCGACAGCAGCTTCTGCGGCGTCAAGCCTTTCGTGATCTCGGTCATGGATGGCATGGCGATGGAGAGGCTGACAAAAAAAAAACAAACCCAAACACACCAAAACACCAAAAGCCGTAAGGGCCTTAAGGAGGTTCCACACCGGAGATACAATGACTCCTTGTGTGTGGCACCGTTTGGAGTTCGGGGCAAACGAGCAAGCCTTCTAGCTTCCCTGGAAAGATCAGGAATCAGGGTGTTCTTGGGGCTAAGGCGCTGGAGGTGTCCACCTCAACGCGACCTAAGCCGAACACCTGCGGCATGCAAGACCCCTGAGCGCTGAAACGGTACTAGCGGCCTGGGCTTTCTGTTGTGATGCTCACAGGGTGATGCACCCGAGCCGACACCTAGCATGAAGATGAGGTGGGGGAGTGCCGCAGAGTAGCTGAACCGAGAAGACCATGGCAACTGGCTCTTCTCTCTTGCGTTTCTTGCGCACGTTCTTAAACCCTAAACCCTAAACCCTAAACCCTACACCCTAAACCCTCACCCTAAACCTCGTAGCCAAGTGGGCCATCCTCGTGCAGGCGCCTCAGGCCCAAATATGTAAAACTGCTAAACCCCAAACAGTACACAGCGCTTGGAACCTCGTCTACCCCACTCCCTGAGCTGAAGAGACTCACCAAAGTCGTCTCGAACATGCAGCCCTATGTAGCCAAAAAGGCCCGTTAACCTTTGTGAAGAACCGCCCTAAACCCTAAACCCCAAACCCCTAAACCCCTAAACCCTAAACCCCAAACCCTAAACCCTAATCCCCTAGCATCTGCAGGGGCCACCCACGCGCTTGCCTCGGGTGCCATCCACCGCCAGGTCCCCACTCCCACTGTTAGCCCTTGCTTGGAGGTCTCTCCTGCCTGGGCGCGCACGCTATTTGGGGTGTTTCAGGGAAAGTTTCGGGGTTTAGGGTTTAGGGTTTGGGGTTTAGGGTTTAGGAGTTTAGGGGTCTGGGGGTCTGGGGGTTTAGGGTTTAGGGGGTTTAGGGTTTGGGGGTTTAGGACGCGCACGCTTTGGCCCTGGGGGAATTAGAACCCATACATATATACCCGTTAAGGGATTTCATAGGATCCTAATTTTGTCATTCCGTACTAAGCACCAGCCAGTTGGGGGTGTTTCAGGGAATCATACATTCGGGTCTCGGGGTTTGGGGTTTTGGGGGTTTCGGGTTTTGGGGGTTTAGGGCTTAGGGGTCTAGGGCCTTTACGCTTTAGGGTTTTAGGGGTTTCGGGCTTAGGGTTTAGGGATTTAGGGTTTGGGGGTTTGGGTTTAGGGGTTTGGGGTTAGGGCTGAGGGCAGCGGAGTGGGGAGGGGCGAGAAAATTTCCATCCATATGATGTTCTGTTATGATGTTCTGCTGTGTGCAGTTCTATGGTCAGTGCTCTAAGTTGTGGTCCTTTTTTGGGTACCCCAAATTATCGGGTCCGCCTATAGAATAAGGACCCCAAAAGACAGAGAGCTGATCCTTTGCCATTTTACGAAAATGGGGGGGACCCCTGAAATAGACCCCTAAATAGTAGGATTCTACAGATTCCCTGCAAATAAGGACCTAAACCCTAAACCATAAACTCTGCAGACTATATCTGCAAAGCCCGACACCTACCTCTAAACTTTTCTGAGGCGCATCTACGCGAGAGAGGCCAAAGTCTGCCACCTTCACGGCCACAGGTGGGGGTGGCGGGGAGGGGGGGGGGGTTTAGGGTTTAGGGTTTAGGGTTTAGGGTTTAGGGTTTAGGGTTTAGGGTTTAGGGTTTAGGGTTTAGGGTTTAGGGTTTAGGGTTTAGGGTTTAGGGTTTACGGTTTAGGGCCCTTGGGCTCGAGCTAATTACCTTAGTCACCTATCCCCTGACAGGACTCCTGATTGCGGTGTTCTGGGCCCAAAGAACAGAGTGCATAAGGGCTGCGTCCAGGATGTTGGGTTTGGTGGCATAGGTTGGGCCTCTTTCATCGAGAGGGAAGCAAGGCTCCAAAGTCTTAAGGGCCTTTGGAGCATTGGGAGAATTCTTTTCGGGGTAGAGGCCCGGTGTTGGGTTTCCGGTTAGCTTCAAGGAGGGGTATGCTTGCTGTGGCCATGGGTGCTGAGTGGTCCGACGTCATTAGGGTCATCCCCCCTAAAGTTCCTAAGCCTCGGCGACCCTAAACTTCTTCGGCAACTCCCACCACCCTACCCAAGCTTCACTTGGCAACAAGCACATGGGCGCAAACAACAAATGTACCGATGGTTCTTGGATCCTCCAGCAAGCTTGCACACCCTACGCTCACGATGCGGGCTCAAGGCTTCAGGATTGCAGGCCGCAGCTGCTCTGAGGCATACCGCGTCGTGCACAAGCATTGTACGATTGCCAAGCCTCCTATGTCAGACCCTGGAATGCCGGACGTGCAATCTGAGCGTCAACCGCAACCTGCACCCCCAAACTCCTCAACACCTGAAGCCCAAGCCCTTTGAACCCCTGGGCGCTCCCCCCTCCCTTGGCACCTTTGCAAAAGGCTCTTGACTGGCGCTCCTGCCACGTTGGGGTCAGGGGCCTTTAGTCCAGGGCTTAGGGTTTAGGGTTTAGGGTGTAGGGTTTAAGGTTTAGGGGAAGGACCTAGGCTCCCCTTCAACGATTCACAGCCAATGAGAAGGATCAGGGGACTTCAGCTCATGTGGTCTCCTAAACCGGAGCAAACCCAAAACCCAGCTGGATCCCATGAAATACACCCCAACTCACCCATTCCTCGCCCACCTCTTTCTACCATGCTTGGCCCCCTAAACCCACCAGGAGCCTCTACAGCAGTCTACGCACTTCTAAGCCCTAAACCCTCACCCTTTCCAAACTTTAGTCCCTAAACCGAAAATGCCTAAACCCTAACCCTAAACCTTAAACCCTAAACCCTAAACCCATGAAGTAGAACACGACCCCCAGGCCTCAAAGGCTTCGCAAGGAGGACGTTGCTGCTCTTAAGATCGCGGTGGAGGATGCAAGGCTTTTGCTCATGAAGGTACCTCTCCAGAATTCTCAGGGGCTTCAAGGGTTTAGGGTTTAGGGTTTAGGGTTTAGGGTTTAGGGTTTAGGGTTTAGGGTTTAGGGTTTCGGGAGGTTCATGGTACTTGCTAGCCAATTGTTACGGTACTTCTAACTGTACTTAAAAGCATATTAGGGCGCTTAATGGGCTTATACGTGGTGTTATAAGTACAGTCATAACTGGTTAATAAGTACCATGAACCTCCGAGTAGGGCCTCAATGGTTTAGGGGTGTAGAGTTTAGGCAGTTGAGGAACCCTAAACCCTAGAGCCTAAACCCTAAACCCTTATGGGTTGAAGAACGGCGTCATCAAAGGCTCAGGTGGAGGAGGGAGTAGCTGGGAGGGGTTTAGGGTTTAGGGTTTAGGGTTTAGGGCTTAGGGTAGGATATGGCACGGGTATGGAGAGAGAGAGCTCCTGAGACCCCCTCTCTGCCAGGGCAACTGTGCACTCCCAGCCCTAAGGCACTCTAAACCCCTAAACTTCTCTGCCAGGGCACTGATGCACTCGACCTTAAGGCTCCTTAGATCTCCCATGAGGGGAGGGCGCGTCGGCGTCACCTTACCGGCAGCCTGACGAATTAGGCGGGGGTCGCCTTCAAACACGGACACCATGGGCTTTAAAAGTTGCTTGGCTCGCTCCTTGGGCAAGGCCTCCTTTCGGACTACTCGTTCCTCTTCCGAGTTGGGGCGCAGCACGTCCTCAAGGGTCAGGGGCCTGTGGCAGCGTTGCAAGAAGAGGGTGGCCGACTCCAGTGGAGAAAGCGGGGGCAGCTCAACGTGCACCGCCTTCACCAGGTCACTAAACAATTCCCACTGGGGCTTGGAGCATCCAAGGAGTAGGAAGAATCCCTCAGACTCCAGGTTCTGTCTCAAGATCGCTCCATGTTCTGCAATCGCCGCGTCGGCGTCGTCAACGATGAGGAGCCCTTTCTGTAGCAACCTTGGAAGCTGGGTTTAGGGTTTAGGGTTTAGGGTTTAGGGTTTAGGGTTTAGGGTTTAGGGTTTAGGGTTTAGGGAGCTTGACGGATCTTGACGGGTCCGGGGGGGGGGTCAACTCTGCAGCTCGCGAAATACCCTTGCCAGCGCAGAGTCCACCAGTTAGGTATCCTGCAAGGCCACTACCATCTTCCCTAAACCCTAAACCCTAGTTCCCCAAACCCCTACACCCCGAAACCGAAACCCTAAACCCTAAAAAGAACCCTAAGCCACGAATCCAAACAACCCCTGCTTTGGAAGCAGATCCAAGATGCTGTGGCTCTCCAAAGATGCAGCTGCCGGCGAAACGGCGGCCGGGTACGGACACGTAGCGCGCGATCTCCGTGAGGGTGGTGGTAAGACCAAGCCTTCCTAGGCAAAAGGATTCCGAGGTTTTGGGGTTCAGGGATGGGGTTTAGGGTGTAGGGTTTAGGGTTTGGGGTTTGGGGTTTAGGGTTTAGGGTTTAGGGGTATAGGCGTTAACGCTCCGCTTCTTCAGGCTCCTCTACAGCGCATGTCGATGCGGAAGATCCCCGCAAGACGCCCCGGCAACCAAGAAAATCCAAGATACGGGGGCAGTGCAGCACAACGACTTTGCCTGAGCAGCAAGGTGCGATTCTGGGATCTCTCTTTGTCATATCCAACATTGTACACCGGGTCGGGGCTTGGTCCGGCTAGGTGTGGAACAAGGATTTCGGGCGCGTAGTGATGAGGGAAGGGCAGGGGAGCTTTACATGGACGCTGGGCAGAGACCGCCCAACCAAAAGGAGAACGGCACCATCACAGGACCGAAGTCAGTAACAAATGAGACCAGAAGAACAAAAGTGTTCAACTGCCAGCGCAGACGGGAAAAACCAAGCAAGCAACGAACAAACCGGACACGAAGAAGTTAATACTAATCTCATAACATAATCTCTTATCCTATTTCTTGTAGGATACAGGTCAATATCAGCTGGCATAATACAAGAATGCACAGCTACCCTGGCAGCCAAGCCCTCAGAGACTTCAAAGCACAGGGCAAGCACCATCGGGCAGCCCAGTCGCGATGGGCAAGGTGCTGTAGCACCGAGAGCATGATCTCCTTGCGCGATGCGTACATATCCCAAAACTCTAAACACTACTCCCTGAACCCTAAACCCTAAACCCCAAACCTAAACCCTAAACCCTACACCCCGGTGCAGATTTCAGGACGTTTTGCAACTTTAACCCCAAGACCGGTCGTGCTGGGCAAGAGCGCGCTCCTCCCGCCCAACGAAGTCTTCGACTGGGCCTGGAAGACCCTGGTAGGCCTCGGACAGCATTTAATGATTTAATGCTCTTGGGTAGGTTACCCAAGAACACTAGGTTTAGGGTTTCGGGTTTAGGTTTTAGGGTTTGGGGCAAAATCTTGGTGGGCTGAATCACAACCTAGAAAATACCGTAGCCCCCAGACCGGGCTAAGGGCCTCGTAGTTTTTCTCGGTGCCTTAGGGCCTTAGGGCTTTAAGCAACACTTTGAAGGGTGTTGATAGATTCAAGGTCTGTAACAAACTTGAAACCCAAAAGCTGCCCCTGTTCCCCCCGGAATTCTAAACCCCGAAGCTGCCCCCTTTACCTCAACCCCCAAGCTGCCCCTTGTTACCCTAAACCCTTTAAACCCCTAACCCTAAACCCTAAACCCTAAACCCAAAAGCCCCCACTCCCCAGCAGCTGCATTTTTTCCCTGGCCTTCGGGGACAAGTCTCCGTGAGTCAACTCGGGAGCCTGTGCTTCAGAGTGGGTGGGGGGAGGGGGTTTGGGGTTTGGGGTTTAGGGTTAAGGGTTTAGGGTTTAGGGTCTAGGGTTTTTAGGGTTTTTAGGGTTTAGGGTTTGGGGGCTTCAATAAGGGTTGGGACACCCTTTGGGGTGGGTGGGGCTGGGGAGGCCGATGAGAGTCATAAGTTCGCGTGGGTGTTGGGGTTTAGTTTAGGGGCCTTGGGGCTTCGAAGTGTTGAGTTTCTGCAAAGGGTTTAGGGTTTAGGGTTTAGGGTTTAGGGTTTAGGGTTTAGGGTTTAGGGTTTAGGGTTTAGGGATTAGGGTTTAGGGTCGCCATTGTCAAATGCTGCTACGTCCTACCGAGGGCCTGCAGCAGGACGTCACCACTTGAGAAGAGCCGAAAGCCAGAGTCACCTCCCTCCAAGTCCGCTTCCGCCTCTGCAAGGATTTGGGGGCTTGGGGGTTTTGGGTTTAGGGTCCAGGGTTTGGGATTCAGGGTTTAGGGTTTGGGGTGTGGGGCTTAGGGTTTACGGTTTAGGTTTACGATGTAGCTAGGGATTAGAGTACCGCCATTACAATCCCTAATACGGACTGTTCGTATACGGGGGAACATCCCAAGTTTAGGGCTTAGGGATCGCGATTGTTGCGAGCTTTCAGGCTCCATCACCTCCTTCATCAGTTTTCGGGACCAAACCCTGTGAACCCTGGAAGGCCCTGAAGGCCCGAAAGGGCCTACAGGCCCCAAAGCACCTAAAGGCCCTAAAGGCCCTAAAGGCCCTAAAGCCCCTAAAGCCCCTAAACCCTAAACCCTAAACTTTCTTCAACCCCAAATTCGCCTCCGACATGGCGATCCGGAAGGCATTGCGCAAGGACCGTCGGCAGGCCAGAGCCAGGTAGAAGCCTTGAGGCTTCCTATCTATTCTTGTGTTTATACATATAAGTTAACAAAATAATGGACTTAGACATCTGTAGAGCTATATCGTTTATATAGTTATGCAAGTGGGGCTTGGGGTTTTAGGGAGTTTCGGGTTGGAGGAGGTTCAGGGCTTTGTGCTTAGGGCTTTGGCTTTGAGGGTTCGGGCTGAGGTGTCTGGAGTGTCGGAGGTTGAGAGTGCAGAGCTACAGGGCGGGGTATACCCAAGAGAAGCTACAGCAACCACCCGACCTACTAGGACCAGTAGATTTTGGGACGTTAAAAAACCCTACAGCAACTTCCGCACCTACAAGGACCAGTAATCCCCCATCCGCGGCGGGAATAAGGAAGCCCTAAACCCTAAACCCTAAAGCCTAAACCCTACACTCCAACAGGCCCTAAACCCCAGACCGAGAAGCTCTTGGCGAAGCGGCTCGCGCAGTGGTCTGTAACAGCTCGATTTGTGTACACGATGTGCTTGACCCCAGCGGAGTAAAATGCTGCTGCCAGCCTCGGTTTTGGGGTTTAGGGTTTAAGGGTTAAGGGTTTAGGGTTAAGGGTTTAGGCTAAGTGCCCGAAGGTTTCAGGTGTTGGTCATCCTACAGTGGCTTCTTTTTGCTTCCTGACTCAGGGCTGCCAGACTACTGGTCTTTTCGAACTCCCCCAACGCCTCCCAAACTCTGAAGCCCTTCATCCTAAACCCTAAACCCTAAACCCTAAACCCTAAGCCCTAAGCCCTAAACCCTAAACACTAAACCCTAAACCGTGAGCTCCCCCAAAACACTCCGAGTCTCGTGTCGGATTTGCAGTTGGACAGGAACCTCGAGAATTCACGGACAAGATGATGAATTTGCTCAGCTGCAGAGTTTCAAGGTGTGTGTCCATGGTGCAATCTGGTGCAGGAACAGGGTCTTCCCTCCCAAACAACGCAGTGTGAGGCCGCCAAAAAACATCCTAACACCCCGGGCCCAAGCAACACGAAGAAGGCGGCCGGCGCGTCTGTGCCGCCGCTCCGCAGCAGTCGCACTAGGGCGTGGAGAGTGAGCGCCTGTAGGGGGAGCTCAAATGCATCCCGATAAGGCGATCTGTGAAGCAGCGCATGAAGTCTCCGCAATTACATCTGGGCTGCCAAGGACCTGAACTGCCCGACAGCGGCACTGCAGGAGATGCGCAGTTCGCGCGACTGTTGCTATGAGCACTCCCGCAAGATGTACGTGTGCCCTTACACTCCATTCGTTTCCAAAAGCAAACTCTGCAGCCCTTGCGTGGCCTCGGTGCCTCCGAAGCCATCCTCCAACACCAGGGTGCTCTCATTGGCCGTATGCGCAGCCAAGTGGAGCCACAAATTGCCTTCACCGCCCCGCTGCAGTACGCTTCCGGCTTAGGGCTTCGGGCTGAGGGCTTAGGGTAGTGCATGATCTTACCTGACCACCCCCTGCCGAAGTGTGTTCTGGCTGACTTTTGCAGGCCATGTGAAGCCCACTGGCAGTCTCCAAATTGTCGCGCAGGCTTCAACTCTCGACCTAGGAAGCAACTTCTCCCATTTCTGTGTGCTTCTCGGAGGCCATGGGTAGACAAGTGAACCTAAGCCTACAAGTTGTAGAGGAACCGAACGATTACCAATACAATACGATCCCCTCAATATTTTATGTAGGTATAGCATCAACTACCGAACATACCATTCTCTAAGTAGGCTCTACATTATAAGGACTCACGCGACCTAATGATGTGCATCATCGCATGACTGGAACTCCAGCAAGCCACGGAGTGTCTTCAGAACCTAGTATAGGGTTTAGGGTTTAGGGTTTAGGGTATTCCGACAGCAGGCAATGCTCCCGGTCCTTCTGTGACTGCCCGTCGGAGGTTGTGGATGGAGGCTGTTTTCACCTCAACGAACTCTCTGTTTAGGGTTTAGGGTTTCTGCTTCCCAGCTTGGGATTCCCAACTTCTCTACACCAGGCTACTCAGACCCCTCGCCCTGGATTCACCAACGTTCAACCTTGCAAGCCCGGCTTTTGAAGGCCCCCAACCTTAACCCTGAACCCCAAACCCTGAACCCTGGCTTGGGCAGGGCTCCTACACTAAAACACTAACAAATCCCAAGCCCAAACACCTATACAAACCCCAAACCCTAAACCCTAACCGCCCACCCCCACCCTCCATCCCTGCCCCCCCTCCCTACTCGCCTTCACATCGATCGTGCCCTGCAGCGCTTCGCGAACTGCCTGCACCTTGCAGGCGACGTTACATATCGTTCGGTGTAACCATGCGCCGGTTTGAGGGTTTAGGGTTTCGAGTTTGGGGTACAAGTAGTTTGGGCGGGCTTCCCACACCAGTAACCGCAAAAAAATCGCCAGCTCTTAACCCTCAAGCCACGAAGGCCTCCCGATCAATCTTCAGTCGCGGGAGCGGGGCGTACTTCGACTGCCCGTTCGCTCCGCGGGTGAGAACCTTGGCTGTGTCGGGATAAGAGGCTTGAATAATTAGAATAGGGTTTGGGGTTTGGGGTTTGGGGTTTGGGGTTTGGGGTTTGGGGTTTGGGGTTTGGGGTTTGGGGTTTAGGGTTTAGGGTTTAGGGTTTAGGGTTTAGGGTTTAGGGTTTAGGGTTTAGGGTTTAGGGTTTAGGGTTTAGGGTTTGGGGGGGTTATTATAGTATGACTACAGAGGGACCCTAAGGGAATACTACTAGTATTTGTCCGACCTCTATATTAGGGTTTAAGGTGTTTTTGTTGGTAGGTACAAAGGGCTACCCTAAACAACGCTGAACCCTAAACCCTGAACCCTAAACCCTAAACCCGAAACCCTAAACCCTAAACCTCAGGGGGCTTCGAATTGAAGAACCCCTTCATAAGTGACTCGGAGGCACGCACAGCGGGGAGGCGTGCAGGAAGAGAAGGCGAACCGGCTTGGCCGACTTCACCTGGAGGGCAGTTGTTCTCAAAAAAGGGTTTAGGGTTTAGGGCTTAGGGCTTAGGGTTTAGGGTTTAGGGGTTACGGTTTAGGGTTTAGGGTTTAGGGTTTAGGGTTTAGGGTTTAGGGTTTAGGGTTTAGGGTTTAGGGTTTAGGGTTAGGTTTAGGGTTTAGGGTTTAGGGTTTAGGGTTTAGGGTTTAGGGTTTAGGGTTTAGGGTTTAGGGTTTAGGGTTTAGGGTTTAGGGTTTAGGGTTTAGGGTTTGGACTGGGTACCCCAACAAGGGAACTCGCCAAGGACTTCACAACGAAGCCTTCCGGCCATCCCATCAAAACCTAAGCCCTCAAGTTTGACCCTAGGCCCCCAAACCCTAAACCCTAAACCCTAAGCCCTAAACCCTAAACCCCAAATAACTAAACCCTGAGCCCTAAACCCTGACATTCACGGGCCCTAAGAGCCCGTCTCACCTCGAGGTGCTCTGCACGATCCGCGAGCATGGGCTCATGGGGCAATGCGCCTAGGGTTTAGGGTTTAGGGTTTAGGGTTTAGGGTTTAGGGTTTAGGGTTGGGCTCATGGGGCAATGCGCCTCAGTGGCTCTTTACTTTGGGCGCCAAGGTTTTGGGGGTTTGCTTGGGGCTTGCTGGGGGTTTGGGGTTTAGCTTTTAGGGTGTGGTGTTTAGCGTTTAGGGTCGAGGGTTTAGGGTTTAGGGCGTGGGGTTTAAGGTTTGGGGCTTACGGGGGGGTAATTTTGGGCTTTGGCCTTGAGTGCCAAGATGGTTTTGGCTTTCTGGCATCTCAGGGACGGAGCTTGAGTGCTTTAGGACACTTGGGCTCCCAAACTGTATAACCCAAAGCCCTAATCCCCAAACCTCATAATCCTAAACCCTAAGCCCCAAACCTTGTAGCCCTAAACCCTAATGTTAACGCCCAAACCATGTAACCCTAAACCCTAAACCCTTAACCCTGAACCCTAAACCCCCAACTGCGGCCCAGGAGCCAGGGCGGAAGTTCGTGGACCTGTCGGGGCGCATGCGGCACACGAGGTCGAAGTAGGCCGCTTGCAGGCGCTTCACAGCCTTCGACTCCTGATCCAGGGGGCTTGGGCCTTAAGCTATTAGGCCTTTTTGTGGGGTTTAGGGTTTAGGGTTTAGGGTGTAGGGTTTAGGGTTTAGGGTTTAGGGTCTAGGCCTTTAGGCTATTAGGCTTTGGGGGGCCAGGGTTTGGGGTTTAGAGTTTTTTGGGGTCTAGGGTCTCTGGCACGGGGACCAGGGCCTTAGGCCTTCGACTCTTGCTCCATGGCAGACCTTCGGTTGCTTGGGCCCCAAGCCGGTTCAAAAGCTCCTGCGACCCCTAAACCCTAAACCCGCAACCCTAAACCCTAGACTCTAAACTCCTAAAAACCCCAAACCCTAAACCCTAAACCCTAAACCCTAAACCCTAAACCCTAAACCCTAAACCCTAAACCCTAAATCCTCGACAGAATGCACCAAGCCCGCCCAGTCCTGGGTCTCGGCGACTGCTGACAAGGCCAAGGACTCTGTGAGCGTCGAAAGCCTGTGCAAGCCGGGTTTAAACCCTATACTCCCTAAACCCTAAACCCTAAACCCTCAACCCTCAACCCTCAACCCACAACCCTCAACCCTCAACCTTACCCTTGACAGGGGCAGTTCTCAAACTTCCCTGGGCCTCAGCCGCGTCAGAGGTTCCCGATCCAACCCCCTGATTCCCCTTGTCGAGGTCCACTTAAGTTGCACTCCCTGCAACCGAAGCATGTAGTCTGAGCCACTGCAGGCGTCTTGTCTCTAGGGGACACATGCAGCTCACTGAAACGATTAAGAAGCAAAACAAACAAACAACAACTTACAATACCACATACGAAGCAACAAGTCCTAAGTCCCAACTGACCAAAGGAGGAGGAATGGTGCTATCGAATAAGAGTTGGAGAAGATACCAAGTTAAGCCCCTAAACCCTAAACCCTAAACCCGAAACCCTAAACCCTAAACCCTAAACCCTGAGTAATCAAGCAGCGCGAAGGAGTGACTCCGCCGGGGTCGTGAGTTCGGGTGCTCATCACCTGGACAGCTGGCTTTCGTTTAGGGTTTCGGGTTTCGGGTTTAAGCCCTGAAGGCCCCCAACATCCACAAAAGCCATAACGCGCCGAAGCTATGGGAGCACCCGGGAGCCAAAACCCCGCTTGGAACCCCCCACGGCCAAACGACCTGAGCCTTAGTCCCTGAAGCAACTAAATTCCGCAGCCGTAATCCCCAAACCCTTGTAACCCGAACACGCTTTCGAGAATGACTTACAACTCTAAACCCTAAACCCCAAATCCTAAACCCTAAACCCTAAACCCTAAATCCTAAACCCCAAACCCGATAAACCCCAAACCCCAAACCCCTAAACCCCAAACCCTAAACCCTAAACCCTAAATCCTAAACCCTAAACCCTAAACTCTACCAGAAGGACTGTCTTCAAGCCCCAGCCGCTCGTCTTGAGTAGGTAGACCAAGGCGAGAATCCTCGGCCCAGCAGGGCTTCGGTGGCTGCGAGGGTTTAGGGTTTAGGGTTTAGGGTTTAGGGTTTAGGGTTTAGGGTTTCAGGTTTAGGGTTTCGGGTTCGGGGTTTGGGGTTTGGGTTCTTAGGGTTTAGGGCTTAGGGTCTAGGGGTGTAAGATTTTGAGAAGCATCCCTAAACCCTAAACCCTGGTCAGTTGGGCATTTGTTCTTGGCTCAGAACAATCCCGGTTTCACGCTCGCACGATAACATAAGCCCCCCTCCCCCCACCCCGCTCAACACCAAGCCACCCAACCACAGCGCCCTAAAAAAGTGGGGGGGGTTGGGGGGGGGGGTGGGGGGGGGTGGGGGGAGTGGGGGGGTGGGGGGGTGGGGGGGGGGGGGAGGTGGGTGGGAGGGGGTGGGGGGGCGGGTGGGGGGGGTGGGCTTTGTGGACTTGCCCATTTCAAATGGAGGATCTAACCCTTGGTTCATGAAGATTGCGTTTCGGATTTAGGGGTTTACGGTTTGGGGAGTAGCATATTTGGTTGCAATGAGTATGTCGGGTAGCTTACTGAATCGCTCGCATCGCGATCGGAGCATTTCAGTAAAAGCTAGTTCCGCTTGGAGACTTCAGGGCCCCTGGGGTGGGCGGGCCCCATCATCTCTCCTTAATCCAAACTATTGTTTGCTTAAGAACCCCCCCCTCCCCCCGAGAAAAATAAATAAATAACATACTTAAAAAACATCGAAAAATAGAGATCTTCTTCCTTATAAGGGTAGTATAGGGATGACTCGTCTTCACTTTTCTTGGGGTTTTCAAGCAAAAATCTGGTGATGAACCTTGGCCCAGGGGTCACGAAGAAGAGCGTCAGGAAGTCGAAGCGGTACTGGGGAGGCAGCAGCTTGTTCATCTCTGAGGAAAAGTGGTCGACGAGGCCTCTGCTGAATGTCGTTGAACGCAGGGGAGGCCCACGGCATGCTCAAGGTTTAGAAAGCCCTACACGCGTGTATGGCTTTTAGGGTCTGGGGTTTACGGTTTAGGGTTTAGGGTTTAGGGTTTAGGGTTTAGGGTTTAGGGGCGGCTGGGCGCTTTCTTGGCAAGGCTTCCGATTTGGTGGCGGCGTTCGAAGCGGTCGAACAACTTAAGGATCGGCGTGTGCTCGAGGCACGGGACTTCGATCTTTCCCTGCCATAAGGGTACCCTTTAACAAACCCTAAACCCTAAAACACGATCATCCTTCTTATAGGAACCTAAAGCTTGCTTTTCGAAAGCCCCCAGTTGGCGTTTTGGGCAGAAAACTAAATCCTAAGCCCCAAACCCCAAAACCAAATCCTAAATCACAAGCCCAAACCCGAGATCCCAAGTCTCAAACCCTAACCCCAAACCCCAAACCCCAACCCCTAAACCCTAAACCCTAAACCCTGAACCCTAAACCCTAAACCCCAACTGCCTTGCAGACCCCACTGTGATCCGCAACTTCGAATCGAGGCGCTGCCAGTTCCACTCCCTACGAACTCTTCCGACTCCTGGCTAGGGTTTAGGGTTTAGGGTTGAGGGTTGAGGGTTGAGGGTTGAGGGTTGAGGGTTGAGGGTTGAGGGTTGAGGGTTGAGGGTTGAGGGTTGAGGGTCTAGGGTTTAGGGTTTCGGGTTTAGGGCGGGTTGGTTTGAGGCAAAAAATGCCTCTAGACTCCAAAACTCTCACCTCCTGCTGCAAGGGTTTAGGATTTAGGGTTTAGGGCTTAGGGTTTAGGGTTTAGGGTTCAGGGTGCGAACAGATGCTTTCCGGGGGTCGCATCTTGCCGCGCGGCACGTGTGATACCTTTCACGGACCATAGACTGGAGCCCCTGAATACATCAACTGCCTAGGAAGATCATGCTGCCGCCTACTCCGCTGACACTGGGGCACAGGGAAAACCACACCGGGTGCCCCACAACATGGTAGTGGAAACATGTGCAGCACGCCGACGTGTGTTTCTTACAAGGCTGACCCTGCACAGTAGATGCGCCGAGATAGCCACAGACAGGGTTGGCCAACTCAGCCCTAAGACCCCCAAGCCCTGACACCCCCCCCCCCAGGCGCCTGCTCCGCGACGAGGTCGAGACAGTGATCTTCCGTGGCGTTGTCTACATCCTTAGCTCCCTTTAGATGGGATCCTGTTCTACGACAACTGAAGCCGATGCATCCCTGAACCGAAAGCACACACCCCTTACCAGAAACAAGGCACAGAGGAAGCCTCATGAAGGGCTCTGCGCGTCTTTGTTGTACTTTGGGTGGGCGGGTGAGGAAAAGGGGCAGGGGGAGTATCGGACGCATATGAACTGGAGGATTTGGGGGCGTAGGGTTGGGGAGGCTCGCGGCTTTCGGTGTTTCGGGTGTGCCGAAGCTTAGGGGCTTTGTCTAGGCGAAGTTACAGGGTTTGAGTTGGGAGCACGGTCCGGGAGTGTGATAAAACTATTTGTCGCAAGTCCGAATCAGAGTCCGAAGCTAGAAGACATTTAGAAACCCAGAGTCTGTATTCCAGACCGTGATTTTTGTATTGGGACAGTTGAGAGTGCCCCCCCCGGGCCAACTCCAAATTCAGCCCGGGGCCCCCCTCCCGAACCCAAAATCAGCCTACGACACTGCCCCACCCCCAAAGAAGGGGGTCTAGGGATTTGAGAGCTGATTGGGTCGAAACAGGTGGAAGGGGTCGTCGGTCGGATATCCGTATCGCCTCTATACGCTATCAGGTTGGACTGGTTGGACTAGGCATCAGAGCTCCAACGCAATAAAAAACAGATGCCTCTGTCGGCGACAGTTTTAGGTCGGTCCATCAAAGGCTTTGCAAGATTGTCCAGCGCAGAAAGGGGCGCTTCGGGCTTAGGGTTCTGGGAGTTTGTTCCGGGCAGTGTGGCTAGGTGTTTTCGTGCCGGCAAGCTTCTTGCATGAATCGAGGCCAGTTGCTGGTGTTGGCGTTCCTTGCAAGGTCGGAAAGACAAACCTACCTCAAACGCTTCGTTGTTCAGTGCAGAACAAGATATAGCCCGTTTGCGTGACTTCATGGAGCCACATGCACCCGGGATAGCTTGAGCCTGTCTTGCTTTGCGGATGCTCTCAAGGAATGCCGTAGGCCCCACTAGGTGCATGTTCTGAAGCCTTCAAAAACATAACTCTTAACAAAGAAAGGACGGGCATACCTTCTCCTGGCAAACTGGTAAGTCCGAGCCTCTCGAGAGCAGAACGCAAACTCGCCATGTCGGCACAGCCGATCACGGCTCTGCGCGACAGAATTGCGGCACGTTCATGCAGATACCTGAGCCGGTTCTTTCAGCTCTACTGCCCACCGAGTACAGCAGATACGCCTGCCAGACCGCACGCAACCTCGGCCGAACGCCACACCCGGCGTGCCAACTCGATGACCAAGGTCCCGGCAGGATCCTCACCAGCACGATGAGGAAGCCCACGGCAGCGCATGCGCGGCGCCGGCAGTATTTGCTGGCCTCCGGACACCCGGGCTGCCGAGAGAACAGAGGACTCCTAGCCCCAAAAGCCGTAAAGCTTGAAGCTTTTACTTGTAATTTTCTTTATGTACATTTTCATTATTTGATTGTATATGATGATTATATTTGATTAATAATTCAATACGTTTTTGTGTCAAGAACATGTATTGCATCAATATTATTAATCGTTTTTGTCCCGAGCCGTAAAACATCCGCCGTAAAATAAGCTCTCAAATACTCCCCCCCCCCCCCCCCCCCCCCCCAAGAACCCAAAGCTTCAGCTCCTGGAGGATATAGGATTGAGAGCTCAAGGTGTTAGGGTTTAGGGTTTAGGGTTCAGGGTTTTGGGGGGGTAGCCTCTCGTCGCATCCTGATTCCGAATGCCGTCTGTGGCGGTTTGGGGGTGCGGACGCCTAGCTGCCAAGCCAGTAGCACGAGCCAGATCCAAGCGCCTCACGCCACACACCCTAAAGCCTAAACCCTAAACCCTAAACCCTAAACCCTAAACCCTAAACCCTGCCTGGCAGCATCGCCGTGCAGGTGCCTCCTCTGAGGGCTCGGGCGCGCCTTGCCTGAGGCGTGGTGTGAGCCGGTCGATACTTGGGGGCAGGTCCGGTTGAGTTGTTTGGGTATCGGGTTTAGGGTTTAGGGTTTAGGGTTTAGGGTTTAGGGTTTAGGGTTTAGGGTTTAGGGTTTAGGGTTTAGGGTTTAGGGTTTAGGGCTTCGGATGTAGGGCTTAGGGCTAAAGATGTCCCGGATGCATGTTGCGCCCTAAAACTCTAAGCCCGAGATGTCTGGTCCATTGCCTATGTGAGGGATGGACCTTCTCTTTCCACCCTTGGGTTTTGCCGGGACACTATGGAAACTGACTCTTCAGGGTGGTATGGCCTCTGGTCTGGTAGGGGTTTAGGTGTGTAAATCCAGAACACGCCCAAACCCCCAAACCCCCAAACCCCTAAACCCCTAAACCCCTAAACCCCTGAACCCCTAAACCCCTAAACCCCCAAACCCCGAAACCCCTAAACCCCTCAACCCCTCAACCCTAAAACCCGAAACCCTAAACCTTTTAACTTTTCTTGCATCCAAGGCACGGCTCCACGTTCCGCCTCCGCTGGAACCTCGCTGAAGTTTAAGGGGGCACTTTTGCCAAAAAAAATGGGTTTAGGTTTCAGGGTTTAGGGTTTAGGGTTTAGGGTTTAAGGTTTAGGGTTTAGGGTTTAGGGTTTAGGGTTAGGAGTCTTGATCCCTTGAATCAAGCCCGGGCCACTGAGACTTCGCCAAGCCCGACACTGTGAAAAAAGGCCCCAACCCGAAACCCTCAAACCTAAACCTAAACCCTAAACCCTAAACCCTAAACCCTAGACCCCGAACCTAGACCTCAAAAACTAAGATCCGAAAGCCCCGAGCCCAAAAGCATCCAAGCGGTAAGTCCCTCAAAAAGGGCAAGCCTGCAGCTGCCAGAAGTTTGCACGGCGTTTTGCATTAGGGACTGGTCTCCAAGGTTCAGAGTCAATTAGGGGCCTCAAAGTGGGGTTTAGTTAGCACAAGATCAGCTCTCTTGCTACTTGTGTTTATGTTCTGAAGACTAAAACAAGCACCGGGGTTGTGAAGCAAAGCGAACCGACTTACCGAGCTTCGTTTGTGCGCCCGCATGAGAGGATTCCCCCAGAACCCCAACATGGAGGTTGACGAACATGGGGGGGAACCCCCCCCAATTCAGATCCCCAAATAGCAGGATTGCCTTTTGATAAGGACCAAGGAGGTACCCTAAACCCTAAACCCTAAACCCTAGACCCTAAACCCCAAAACTCAGTGCACCAGTGGAGGGTCAAGACGCAGCGCTCTGCTTCCCTGTAGCGCTTGGCTCCATTTGCCCAGCGATTGCGCCATGGCAACATGAGGGGCTCTTTAGGCTGCTTGTGGGGTGCGGCGGTCGCAGGGTTCTGGGTTTGAGGCTTCATAGGGCTTCAGGGAGGCTAGAGTTGGGGCTTATGGGATCTAATTCGGCCGGCAGTTTGGGTGCCGTGGCCCTAAGGGTCTCGTGCTTGGGGCTTGACCTGGCGTAGGGGGTGAGGACCTCCTTCGATGGCGCCGTGTGGCTGAGGGTAATGTAGGAGCTGAATAAATTAAAGGGTCTTGGAGGGTTATTATCGCATAAATATAAAGGAACATAAGTTGATATGTTTAATTTATATTCCGACCCCTATATGATGGCCTCCCAGGCCTGCATGATTTTCGACATCACGGCTGCGATTCCTCATGTTGCTGCTCACTTTAAGGTTGCTACTTTGGGATGCTCCCCCTTTATACCGAGAGTCCTTCATAGGGATTATAGTAGGGGGTACGTTCCTCCCTACTAAGGACTGTTAGAATAAGGGGGACCATCCTTCCTCCCTCCGTGGCCTGTTGCCTGGCGCTCCCTATCTACTTTTCGTCTGACAACCCTTCTACTTGAAGACCTTCAGGGCCTTTGCAACTGCACTCAGTTACTCAGCAATCAGCACGAGCAAGACCTTTGCATGTCGGCGTGATGAGAACAGTCACATGTGGGTGGACTCCAACCCCACAAAAACCGACAAACCCCCGGGTTTGGTCCATCGATCCCCAAGGCCACAAGTTAAGGGCATACTATAGGCACCTTAGTAATTCGAACAGGGAGTTGGGGGTTATTATAGTACGATTACAAAGGGACCATAAGGGAATACTATGACTTGTAATTATTCCGACCCCTATACTACACAGGTTCTCCCAAGATCTGTGGCGCACTTCATTCCACAGGCCACGTCCAGCAGTATCTGGCAAGGGCATAGCGGACCATGCTCAAAAAACCCTGAACCCTAAACCCCCCTAAGCCCTGCACCCCAAACCCTGTATAAGCCCCAAACCCTAAACCCTAAACCCTCATCCCTAAGGATCTGGTTTAGGGCCTAGCACACCACCCAACCTACGTTGCATCGACGGTTTCAAAGGTGGGTGGGCAAGTGGTTTGCCAGGTCCACTTTCCAGGTATGCAGCCGAAAGCGCACAGGCCTAAACCCTAAACCCTCAACCCTCAACCCTCAACCCGAAACCCTAAACTCTAAACCCTACACCCAACACTGATAGAAGCTTTGGGTTCAGGGCTTAGGTTTCTCGGGCGTCGGAATGAAGGTTCAGCGTTGTGGTTTCGGGTTTAGGCACACCGTAACTGGTAATGTTAACCTAGTATTACTAAAGCCCCTAACATTAAAGTACGCCAGGTGTCCCGGCCGCAATAATAAAGCCCTGGAAATAAAGTACGACAGTCGGGGCTTGTTTTTTTGGGGGGGTCCGTTTTCCTTTCTGATCCTCTCTGATTCTCTCTGATCCTCTCTAATTCTCTCTAAGGAGAGGAATCCTGAGTGATTCTCTCTGATCCTCTCAAATTCTGTCTAAGGAAAGGAATCCTTATTCAAAGGGGCCTCACTCTATTTGGGGGGGTTTGATTGAAGGGGGGGGGGAGGGGGGGGGGTTTACTATTACTAGGTCAACATTACGGTGCAAATGGGTTTAAGTTTAGGGTTTAGGCATTAGGGTTTAGGGTTTAGGGTTCAGGGTTCAGGGTTTAGGTTGGTTGGTTGGTTGAGAGACACCGATGTGCCATCTCTGGGCAGAGAAGGGGAATGACCTGCGTGCTTGCACCGACAGGTGCCCCAGCCCCCAGAAAGCCAAAGCAACTAACGCGCGGCCTCCCCAAATACAGAGTGAAGCGGGCACACACTTGCTTCACGACACACACAGGTACCAGCTCTGCTTGCGCTGTGATGCAGCAACCCTGCATACACATTCTGCCCTAAACCCTAAACCCTAAACCCTAAACTCTAAACCCTAAACCCTAAAGCTTTAACCCCTTATTAGACCCCTTCTGAAAAATCCAGGCCTTGACCTGCTGCCACAGCGAGAGCTCTTGCTCGCCTGCGCGCCGCCGCAACGCGCGTGGCGTTCAGGGTTTAGGATTTAGGATTTAGGGTTGAAAGGGTTTAGGGTTTAGGGTTCAGCGTTGAGGGTTGATATAAGGTTACCAGGTTTAGGGTTTCGGGTTTTGGGGTTTTGAGCTTTGGAGGTTATGACTTTACAGAGATGGCAGGGCCAGGGATGTTGGGGGGGTGGAACTGACAATTTTCAGGCATTCACGGCTGAAGAGCTGAGGGTTTTGGGTTTCAGGGCTGCCTGTTCCCGGCACGGCGGGGCACTACCGCTGAACCCGAGCTGGTCTACACCACTGGCACCCTCACCCTCCTACCTTCTGCGCGTCTCTGCCCACGAAGGCTCATGAAACTTTGATGAAGCCATCAGTCTATATGGGTCTCATGTTAGTTGGGTAGTATAGCACAATTACATCCTGAACCGCCAAGGGGCTGTTGTAGAGTAGGTCGAAAAGGCAGCCACCTCACGCTAGGCATCTGAATCGATGTCAGTGCCGCTTCGGCAGTCCAGACCGTTGACAAACTCTCCCTAAACCCTAAACCCTAAACCCTAAACCCTAAACCCTAAACCCTAAACCCTAAACCCTAAACCCTAAACCCTAAACCTTGATCAGGCCACCATCCCTGAAAGCCTGAGGAAGAACCCCCAGGAAACCCACAGCCCTCACCTCGGGGGGTCTGGGTCTTGACTGGCTGGTTCTTTGTAGGGAATGAGGGAATGAGGGCCCTGTATAGACCCTTTTAAGGGATCAGAGGGGCTACTTAGGTAGACCCGGACTATATAAGGTATTTAGAGGGGCTATATAGGGGAATAAGATTAAGGGTCCCTTCAAGGGATTATCTAGGGCCCTCATTCCCTCATTCCCTACTAAGAACGAGTGGGTTGATGTTGAGACATCGTCTAAGGCTCTGAGGGCCCCTGTAGGGTTTTGAGGGGGTTTAGGGGTTAGGGTCTAGGGGGTTTAGGGGGTCTAGGGCTTAGGGGATTTAGGGTTTTGAGGGGGTTTAGGGGTTCGGGTTTAGGGGGTTTAGGGCGTCTAGGGCTGAGGGTACCAAAATCATTCCTACTCAATACGGGGGCGCAAGTTTCTTTCCGCCCTTTGCGTTTCGGTTCGAAGGTTAGGTGGTCAGTCCTCTACACCGGTGCCCTTGTGTGGCTGCCTGCGACAATACCTCCCCTTCTGTTGAACCCGAGATGCTCTCAACTATTGTGCCCTTCAGGGTTCCAGGGTTTGGTGTTTAGGGTTTAGGGTTTAGGGTTGAGGGTTTAGGGTTTAGGGTTTAGGGTTTAGGGTTTAGGGTTTAGGGTTTAGGGTTTAGGGTTTCCCACGAGGGGAGATGGCTCTTGCGGCGAAGACTGGTGGCTTTAAGGCTTTGGCGGGCTTTAGGGTTAACCCTCAACCCTCTCAACCCTCTCAACCCTCTCAACCCTCTCAACCCTCTCAGCCCTCTCACCCCTCAACCCTCAACCCTCAACCCTAAACCCTAGGGTTTAGGGCTTCAAACTTCTAGTGCAGCGCTTCGGGATGTGGCTTAAGACCGCGGCCTGCCAGGTACTCGGTGATGATCAAGTAGGGAGGTTCCAACCTTTGGGTGGGTGGACAAGGTGTCTATACTCCCCTTAGAACCTTAATAAAAGAATATTGTTAATATCCTCTTGGGTTGTATAGAAATAAAAATAATTCCCAAGGGGAATATAGGTGTTGGGTTTTCCGGCTTCTTGGGGTTTGGGGGTTTTGGGTTTTAGGGTTTAGGGTTTAAGGTTTTAGTGACTTGGGGTCGTGCAAGGGTTTTTTGTCTGGTTTGCTGGTGCTGGTGTGATCTGAAAGGCTCGAGCGACTGCAGTGCTGAGGTAGAGTGTCCCCCTAGGTCTTGTTCCTAGTGTGCCTCAGACATAGGCGCGATGGCTCTAAACCACGCTGCGCTCCTCGCAGCAGCGGTTAAGGCAGCTTGCCAAGCTAAGGCGCCTGGGCGGCAGTAGCTGCTGCAGTAACCTCCTCTTTGGTTGCTGCAGCGGCTGCGCCTGCCACGGTCACTGGTGCTGCCTCGCGGCCTCCGAGTGCCGGGGTGGACTCTGGCGTTCGTGAAGACGTACTGGTGCAACAACTGCGTGAAGCACGTGCAGAGCGCAGACGTGCCAAAAGGCAACACCGAAGGGCAAAAAAGGCGGCAGAAGCTACTTTGGTTGCCAACGAAGTGACTGCGAACATTGCCGAGGAGACTTCGGCTGGGACAGCCGAGGCTGGAGCAGGATGCAGACGTGGAATCGTTACCCCGAACTGACAAGGACAAGCCCCTGCAACATGGCGCGACTGGTTGTTCGCCTCCGTCCAAGAAACCCAAGCCAGAGCATGGTGATGCTGGGGTTGCTGTTCCACTGTCTGTTCCAAGCCGGGGCGCCAGCCCTGCTCCGAGCACTGGGTCGATCGCTGAGTCCGGCGATACGCGATTGAGTGCTTTCTCTGCTCCTGATGATGTGGCTCCTCAGGAGCCGGTGCCTTCGGGCAATCGTTTGACAGGTCAAAGGCAGCCGCCACCTCCAGCTCTACGTGGGCGCGGCCGGGGAGGGCCTCAGTGACCTGACAGTTTTGCCACTTAGTGAGTCTCACTTGACGCAGTGACAGCGCCCGTTTTGCCTTGGCTGCGACAAAGTCGCACCTTGTTTCTTGTCTTGACTCGGCAGTTCGCCGCGGCTAAGCCGCCACGCCTTGACCGGCTGTAGTCCCACCTTCGGGGCAGGGTGCAGCCATGCCATACATACATACATACATACTGGTGTGATCCGATGGATGCTTGGTGTGTGTTTCGGGCTGAGGGTTTCGCAGCTTCATGCTTGATATTATGTGATGGTTATAGGGCAGCGCGACGGACAAAATGGTTTTGGGGTGGGCTTCAAGTTGAAGCGTCAACGACGTGCCCAGGAATCAAAGTCCGAATGCACATGGG